GACCTTTCCACCAAAAGGCTTTCTTGCCCTGCTGTCTGCTCCCAGGCAAGGTTTCAACGAGGGGCTTGCTGCGAATCATAGTGGCCACACCACACACCGCCCACACCTGAGGAAGACGGATCTTGAACTTCCAGCTTCCCAAACTCTAAAGAATAAACTTCCCTTCTTTATACACTACTCTAGCTCAGGTCTTTTGTCTCAAACATTGGTTTCTTGACAAACATTTGTTGGGAATCACGTTGTAGGCTCCTCCAACATGAGAGACAGAGCAACAAGGAGAAACAGAAAGGGGGGGGACAGAGAGAGTATACATCGGAGGGGGAGGGACGCACTAAAGGGGGGAGCAGCTGCTAGCCCCAGGAGAGGGCAGAAGGATCTGACAGGGCCTGCAGCTGGCTTTTGATCTCGTTGAGTTTGTTTAATGAAGCTAATGTTTGAAAGCTTGTGAGAAAACCATCAGCCTCGCCTGCCTCTACCCTTTGATCCGTGAGTTTCTGATACTGACGATGTCCCAAGACATCCTGGTCAGATCCCTGGCCTTGGGCTTCTATGCAGAGGGTCTAGAAATCCAGGTATGTGGCCACAGGGAAAAGTCTCCTCCTTCATGCTTGTTATGCCAAGTTTGTGAAACTCCAAAAAAGACCACCAAGGAGCCGACTCACTGATGCAAATGTACAAGGCTTATTGTTAAGCTACAAGCCTCGGCAAGGACCCTGTCCTGCAAACTGGTACAGCAGCTGCAGGATAAGGGTGTCTGGCCTCAGTTGTAAGGGGTTTTTAAAGGAAACACACACACACACACACACACACACACACACACACACACACACACACACACACGGTGGTACCTGCCTTGGCTGTTCAGGATTGGGTAAGAGTAGGTGACCCTTGGCTTCACTGACATGGGGGCTTAGGGGAATTTCAAAATTGTTACTAATGGTTGACCACAAGGACAGTAGTGTCAAGAATATGCTATTTACCAAAATTAGTCTTTGCCTGACCATCCGGATGGGGTTGCTTTGACCAGGGTGGACACAGTTTGGATGCTCCTTGGAAACATTTATGGTTCCTTGGCTGGAGCTGAATCAGCCTTGTGCCACACAGAGCATTTCTCAAGGTGGCTTTTTCTGAGGATGGAGTTAACTCTATCCTCTCCAGTTTACCTTACTCTTACAATGCTGTTAGACTCCAGGTGCAGGCCCTTCTGCAGGGAGTCCTAGTCTCCTAGAAACTGGTTGACTTTTCCTAAGGGTACATGAGGAAGCATCTATTAACCCCAGATAAAGTGCCAACTCCAGACCAAAGAAACGATCCCATCCAAGTCTAGCTTAATTAACAAAGTGATTACCTTACAGACAGACGCATTAAGTGAAGGGCTGCTTAAAAGACCAGAGCGATTCAAATGCAGCTACATCGCAGAGAAGTCCTCTTCAACATGATGACTCATGCATGAGGGCTGCACCCAGAGAATTCACTGCACAGCTTGCAGACAGCTTCGTGGGAGAGTCTCCTCAAGCCAGCAACTGTTGCTTATGTAACCTCGGGGAGTGCCTTGCGTACCTGAAAACATTCCGAGCTTCCTGAGCCCAAAAAGCAGTTTCCTCCCTTCACTCCAGGAGAGACTGTTTCAGTTCAGAGGAAGTGTGTCCCAGGCTTAAGGGTTCCTTTGTAGCAGACCATGTTGTCTGACACCCTAGTGAACCATCAGAAGTGACTGGCCCCACATGCCTTACCTTGTTCTGGTCCGGTGTCCATAGTCATTCAGGGCATCACCATCATCGGCTCCCATGGGCTCCATTCTACGCTGTGCTGGAGTGGTCTCAATACTCTGTGCTTGAAGTTTTGTCTCTGCTCCCCTGGAGCCAGGGAGGGCTAGGCCTGCTGCCCACCACTCAGCAACCTGTAGGATTCTGTGAGGGCAAGTATGTACCGCAAGATTCGGCCAATCAGGTTTAGTTATTGCCACTTTCTCCTCCTCCTTCTCCCCTCAGCTATTTGAGCCCCCTCTAGCAGCTTCCTAGTCTGAAATGAGGATCAGATTACCTATGGGCTCCAAGAATCAAGCAATCAGATAAGAAGACAAGCTTCCCTTCCTTTGGTCCCCGCAAGACCAGCCCACCTTATCCCAGCCATATTAATCAAGATTCTCGAGACTCTAGAGCAATGGTACTCAATCTTCCTGATATTGTGACCCTTTAATAAAGTTCCTTATGTTATGGTGACTTCCCAACCATAAAGTTATATCATTGCTACTTCATAACTGAAATGTTGCTACTGTTATGAATCGTAATGTAAATATCTAATATGCAGGATATCTGATGTTTGACCCCAAAGGCATCACAACTCACAGGTTGAGAACCTGTGCTCTAGAGTCTAGAGGAACAGAAATGACATACACACATTTCTGTTCCTTATGTATGTATGTATGTATGTATGCATGCACACACACACACACACATATACCACACACACACACCAATTTACTTAGATTAGGGTGGCTTGTAGTGGCATCTTGCCTTGCCAGAGAACTTGTAGTGATGTTCACACCCTTTGGGCATGGTTTCAGGTGCAGATATGACCCATTATTATAAGGTAGAGGAGAGGTTGGCTCACACTCTCTTAGGTTGCAGACACTGCATCTTCTGGAGCAAGATTGACTCTCATCTATGTAAGTGCTTCCCTAATAAACACCTATCTATCATTTATCTTGGGTCTGGTGGAATCATTTAAACCCCACCTTCAATGACTTACAGGATGTGGTTCTGCTAGTTCAACAAAGGCTGTCTTACCAATGAAAAGTCCAAGAATCCGTAGTAGTTGCTCAGTCTATAAGACCGTCTCAGCTGGTCTTTGGTATACAGTGGAATTCCAAAGAAGTAGGCTCTAATGCCAATGAAGGAATAGACTTTCCAAATGAGAGTGAGACAGTCAGGAAGAGAGAGAGACAAAGAGACACAGAGAGAGACAGAGAGAGAGAGGCACTCCCTTCTTCTGGATCCTTTATATAGACTGCCAGCTGGACTCAGTTTAGATGATCCCAATTTTGTTGGCAACATCCAGATCATCATAATCAGGAGCCAAACGAACATATACCTTCCTTCTTCTCTCCTCCAGTCCTTATGAGGGTGTTGACTTTGGCCACGTCAGTGTCATAGAGTTTCTTCACAGCCTGTTTGGTCTGGTGCTTGTTGGCCTTGACGTCCACAATGAACACAGTGTGTTGTTGTATTCTGTCTTCTTCATGGCTGACTCAGTGGTCAAGGGGAATATGATGATGGCATAGTGGTCAAGCTTGTTTCTCCTGGGCACACTCTTTCACGGGTATTTGGGCTGCCTCCAGAGCCACAGGGATTTGGGCTGCCGGAAGGTGGATGAAGTGGGGAATCTTCTTCTTTCTGTGGCTGTGGACCCTTTTAGCACTGCCTTCTTGTCTTTCAAGGCCTCTGCTTTGGTTTGGGCTTTGGGAGGGGCAGGAGCTTCCTCCTTCGCTTTCGGCACCATCTTGGTGAAAAGTGGCACATTGCCCTTTTTACTGAGTGACTTCCCATGAAAACCTGCCCAGGAAGTCCTACCGTCTTCACACTGCTTGCTCTGATGATCAGATCTTCTGTGTGGCTCTATCTCTGCCCCAGGCCTAGATCCCGCCCCCCCATTCAGGGAACCACTCTTGAGTTCCTGTCCTTGGGGAGACTTCAGAACCCCCTTCCTGGGCCCCAGTTCAGTTCCACCAAGGCCACTCTGAATGTGCAGGGGTAACTGGATGTCTCCCCTCTTGTCTGCTTGATTTTCCCCTCTCATCAGCTTGAAGTCTGTTGTCCTGATCCCCCGGACAGCCAGCCAGCCAGACAGACAGACAGACACACACACACACACACACACACACACACACACACACACACACCTCTCCTCTGAACTTTTCTGTTTGTTGGGTCTGTGACTTGTAGTCCCTCAAACTTGTATTAAGGATCTCGATTGGCTCCCTCTCCGAGGCTGCAGGCTTTGAGCTGCTTTTCTATGAAGTGGGCTGGCAAGATACAGCCCTGCATTGATTGCCCTATGTGACTGCCCACCAAGATGAGACGAGGGAAACCGGGTTATTCATAAAACAGTGTGAATGGCTCAGGAGTGAAGTAGCCACAGGAAGTCACAGATCACTTCTCTGTGAGAAGCCAGTCAGGGGTGACAGGTGCTCTGTGCGGAATGGGTGTCACTTAGAGGATAATTATCCACGGATGTTCTGAGCCTGGCCGATGAGGCTGGGTGAAGCTAGGATTTAGCTTTCTGTCCTTAGGCTGCTCAAGTCTGCACTGTTGTGGACCGGACACCTGCTAGAGTTCCTAGCACCGTTTCTGAGCAAACCTGGACTGGATCTTCTAGACAGGTGATGTATGTATTGATGGGCTCACCCATCATTCCTCCTGCTCCCGAGTCCTCACTCTCAGAATAGACATAGAGCTCTGGACCAGGTCAGGACTTCTGGAAGCTGAGGAGTCTTGGAGACTTCCACACCGAAAACGCCTCGTGGATGGGATGAGCCTGAATTCCCACAAGAAAGGAGTTTTGTGGCAACACTGCAGAGGTGTCTGTCCCACCAGAGGATCCGGAGCAGGGACAGGAGCCAGGCCGAAAGCTATTGGAGGCAGACAAGGTTGCTAGTTCTTCTTTTAAGAGCTGCGCAGGACAGACTTCTTGGCAGGTCCAGTTAGTCCTGTAGCCACCGCGCAGTCCCTCCCTGCTCTTTACTGCCAGAAAGCCTGTCATCGCCCCTTTAAGAAGGGATCCCGCGCCCCTTCTCAGAGCGGCCTGAAGCCCCTAAGGACTGCAAGTATAGGGGTGTGTAAATGTGGAGACAGACCCGGCGCAGCTGTTACCCTGAGAAGGGAGGGGATAAGGGAGGGCGGGGTCTAAAGAGCGGGTGAGCAGGGGCGGGATCTAAAAGGGGGGGCGCGGACAGGGCTGGGGTCTGCTAGGCTTTCCCAAGGCTAGCTGGGTCGGAATCTGCAAGCTGGAAAGAGGCGGTGTCCTCAAGGCAAGGAGGGCGGGGCGCGGTGGACAGAAGCATTCGCAGGCGGCGGGCTTCGGCCCACTCTGGCAAGCAAAGACGCCCGCGGGAGGCGTGAATACCATGGGCTCTTGCTCCGGCCGCTGCACGCTTCTTGCGCTCTGTACTCTGCAGCTGGTGAGTCCTAGTGTCCTTCGTGGCTTTCCGGACCCTCACCAACCTCGGGAGGCTCCTGAGATGACGGCTTGGACCCAGCTGCTGCGGCTGATTTACCCGGCGGATAGGCATGCAAGGGGAGCTGCCACCGTGTGGGATCTCGGCTGTGCCCCGCTGCGTTTGCTCTGGAAGCAGTGTCCGGGCTGACGGGGACAGGTGCTGGGGAGCTCCTGGGGACCCGGGCTGATAGGAACAAAAGCCTTCGGGCGGGGCTGCCTCCGGAGCAGCGCTCAGGTCCAAAATGCGCGGCCCGTGGTCCCCTTGATGCGCACATGTTCCGAAGGCGCCTATGGTCAAGTGTGCGCATGTTACCGCCATGGCACCAGTGACGGAGTTCGCGGCAAAGTTCAATGCCTGAGTGTAGACATTAAAATCGGGTGTGCCGGAGAGTGTGATCGCCAGGCACTCCCAGCTTATGCGTGAGCACTAACTACTTGGGGTCTCCCAATCTTCCTGGCCTGTGGAGGCTCTCAGGTCCGGTTGCCCAGGGTTGAGTTGAAGAGCTTTGTCAGAGAACTTGGAGGACACCAAACAACTTTGCAGCTCTCCCTGAGCTTGGAGCCTGGAATTTGGGTTCTGCCGCTACTGGAGGAAGGGGCTAAAACAAAGGTCGCTGGGGAAACCCCTTTGCATAGATGCTAATGAGCCCTGGGGTCTATGGTCTTGAAAAGGAAAATTAGCTTTGTTGTCTCTGGGCTGGGTGTGGGCCTAGGCCCAGCTGGACAGGGTCCCTCCTCCAAGGGCTGAAGCTGGAGGTCCTGAGGAAGAAGAGGTTGTTTGAAAGATGCTTTAAGGCTGTTTGGTGTCTTGTCCTCCCCACAGCATAGGCAGCGTCCAGGGGCTGCCAGGCACACTGTGGGATTGCACGCGGGAGTCCATGGTCCAAGTATTTACTGTTCTGCAGGTTTCTACTGGGCAAATCAGGCTTTAGAGTGCTGCTTCCAGCCTTGGAGCAGTGTTGAGTTGCTGTCTTTCTGTGAGGGGCTCCCTTAGGGGGCTCCTGGGAAGATAGAAGGCAGCCCGGCAGAATGACCAGGTAAAGGACAGGGATGAGCTTGGCTGGCTCTGAAGTTTAGAGTCTGCCCAATATGGGAGTCAAAACACACAACAGCTTCGGGGGGCGGGGGCGGGGGTGGGAGTTGGGGGGTAGGGGATGACTTTGCTTTGTTTGACAGTGTTCTCTGTGGCTGAGAGAAGCAGGTGCTCTTCACACCTCCAATTCAGGGATGTAGTCCCACCCTGGATGCAAGAGTTTGATAAGGTCGGGGCCTGTTCCTGCATGTTTGACTTCTGGTGGATACAGGTGTCGGTCTAGGGCATCCTTTAGAAATTTAGCTGCAAGTAAGAGGAGTGGTATAATTTTGGTGTTTGGGTTGTAGAGCTTCCCTGAACAGGGCTTCTCCAAGACTCAGTCCCAGCCAAGACAAGCCCCCAAGGACTTTGTGAGGCTGTACTGAGCCATGTACCCTTGCTTTGTCCAGCAGGGCCACAGTTGAAATGCCCCAGGGAGCTGTCAAGGGTCTTTTGTCCTACCCTGGCTGGCAGTTGGAGGCGGGCCACCCTCCTCGGCCTCTGGGAAGAACAGGCCCAATGCCACCCACTGCTCTGCACAGAGTCGAGAGCAGAGGAAGCTGGGAGTAGCATAGGGGTCCTGAGGCTTTCCCTTTTTTGACAAGCGTGAGAGTTTTCTTGTTACCAAGTTACTGGACAAAGGACCTAAACAACTCTCCCTAAAGAACAGCGGGAACATTGTCGGCTCTGAGCCAGCGCTATGCTGAGACCGTTCCCAGACCTTCACTGTGATGACAAGATGGGACTCTGGGCCCATGAAGGGGTCTGCAACTAGCTTTGGCAGGGCCACTGGCTCTAAATTACCAATGCAGTGAGGGACTCATAGAGTTTCTGGGCATGCTAGCTCTTGAGATAACCAGGGGCTACTCTTCAGACTGGGGGCCTCTAGCAGACATGTGCAGCTGGAGCCTCACAGGACAGTGCCTTGGGTTTCTTAGTGGATGAAGGGGGCCATCTTCACCTCCCCTTTCTTTTTCTCCCTGGGTGGGATGAAGACCAGTCAGGCCTAATCATTCATGAAGAGGCTGACCTCGTCCCCTGGTGCTGGTCCCCCCCCATAAAAAAAAAAAAAAAAAATAAACTTGTAATTTTGTGTGCAGGCTCAGGCTCCTCCAGGAACCAGGGTTCTGTTGGGATGGGGACATCTGAGCTCTAATGCTTGAGATCCATTCTGGATCATGCGTTTTCATGTTGTATGTAGAAAGGCTGTGCCTTTGGTTACTGCCTCTAACAGATGGATAGAACAAGTACTCACACAGACCACCATGTGACTCCTTAGCACAAGTGCATTGTGGGGGAGGGGAAGTGCTACCACTGGCTGCCTGGGCCCAGGGTAGGAGCTTCAGGTTGCCTGTGAGCATGCAGGCATGGGGACCCTGAGTCCTGCTTAAAGGAGGAATATTCCTGTCACAGATGAGAGAAAGCACCAGGGTCCGAGCTGGTGGATGGAGGCAGGAGGGGTGGAGATGGATGGTCACCTGAGTGAGGGGCTGGTCTCAAAGGCTGGGTGCTATTAGAGCCTCATCCTATGGGTCAAGAGCAGTCTGTGGATGGGTCTCCATCCACAGTCCCAATCCTGAACATTCAAACAGGTCTCTGCTGTCATCTGTTTTATGGAGTTGGGATGGGCAGCCGTTTGGTGCCTCCTTAAGGAGGATTTTCATTGTTAACAGACAGGGTTTGTCATGGCAGATCTGTGTGCTGAGAGCCCTACATGCCTTCCCAACCGTCATGTGAATTCAGCAGTGAGCTAGGGGTGCAGATCAGTGATTGAGGGCTCTCCTAGCATGTGTGAAGTCCTGTGTTTGATTCCAGTACTGGGAACATTCACACACACATACTGCACACCACACACCACACCACACACACACACACACACACACACACACACCACAGAGAGCTTGGAAGACTTGGAAACATCCCATTCCTTCTGTTTCCTGTCCCCACTGACCCTCAGAGACTATCTTCTGAGCGGTGTCACAGATGTGTGCTGCTTTCTGTGGCCTTCCAGGGAGCTGAAGGTAGAAAGGGGATGCACAGTGAGGGACTGCAATCCCCAGGCCATTTCTTACCCATGCAGGTGACCCCTCCATCATTCTGACACAACCTCAAACTGAAGTTTAGATCTGAATGTGTCCTGAACACAGATCCAGAACCCAACAGCTCCTGAGATCTCCGATAGAGGAAGTGGAGAGGGCAGGAATTTCCATGGTGGCAGAGTCAGACACCAGAGACATCCTTTAGGATTGCTGGGGCTGTCTCTTTCCTGGGGCCATTGCAGCTCTGTAGGCTCTCTTGTGGTGCGAGGCACTGGCTAGGCAGTGGACAGAGGGCATATGGGAGGGGTAGCATGACGGCATCTTCAGAAGGTGGTGCTGGTGGGCATCAGCCATTCTGCAAGTTTACTGTGGCCTCCGTGTGTTGCGCTTGGCTGCTGTGCTGGTTTGTATCCCACATCAGGAGCATAGCAGGGAGGGTGAGCAGAGGCTGGGCGTGCATCAGAAAGGAGCTGGCTGGGATCTAAATGGCCAGGGCGGAGAGGAGGATCAACAGAGGAGATGGGGCTCTGCCTGCCAGGCAAACTCTGGTTGGAAGACTTGGGGAAGCAGGCAGCTATGGTCAGGGCCATCCTAGCAGGACGCTGGGCCCACTGGCCCAGGGCAGCTTGTGATAGCCCAGAGAGTGAGAGTTAGTCTTAGATAACAGAGGGAGAAACTGATGAGGGGTTGACCCTGACTGAGACACTAGGTGGATAATATCTCGGGTTCTGGGCATAAGGGTTGCAGAGGCATGAAGTACAGGTACGCTCGCTCCCAACCATGGGCTCTAAGGTCTTATACTCAACCTGACCACTGAGAGCTCTTCTTGCATGGACTCTGGGTGGAGGCGAGGCTTGAACAACTCCTGCCTCCTCAAGAAGGACTTCCAGAGCCTGCTCTCCTCCTGTGGCATGCTGGGTAACTCCCTTCTTGAATACCCCTCCTCACTCCCTGCTCAGGGAACAGGCTGTAACTGACAGTCCGGGTATTGCCTAGCACCCCACCCCCTACCCTGGATCAAGCTCTCTGAGTCCCAATGACCCCACATTCCAGGCCTAGAGCCACCAGGGTGCGTCTGAGATGGAGGAGGGGCAGGTTCTGAAGGAATTTGGCAGATTACAGAAAGAAACTCCCTCAAAAAAAAAAAAAAAAAAAAAAAAAGTTACAAAATCACCCTCATAGGACAGCAAGTCTGGTAATAACAGGGCAAGAAGCACTGTGGACTTCGGTTCTGACTGGACCTGTCTTTTTGTCCTCTTCCTGCCAGCCACTGTGCATACACAAACGAGCACACACACACACACACACACACACACACACACACACATGCGCGCACAAACACACACACACACACACACACACACGGGCATTGCACACAACTGCATGCAGACATAGGCCACTTGACTCTATATTTTGTACAGCTGTATGACCCATATGTGGCCCAACTTGCCTGCCTGCATCCCAGGCGTTCTCTGGTTACTTCTAGGAACAGAGCATCCTTGGAGAAATGGCCTGGACTGGTACCATTGGAATGGACCCTGGGGCACTGTGTCTGCCATATATTGGAAGTCTAGGGAGCTTGAGGAGGTGGGGCCTCATCCCTTCTACCTGACTTCCTTGTTGTTCCTTTGGTGACCATGGGGTGCATACAGGCTCTGATGGCCTTAGGTATCTTGGGAAGGTACAAGCGTCCTAGGTAGTGTGACTTCCTCGTGTCTTTTCACCCTCCACTCAAGGGGAATCAGTTTATGTTTGAAAGGGGGATTTTAGGGTGGTGCTCACCTATTTTTTGGAGGGAACAGAAGCCCCACTTGTTTCTTCTGCCTGCTACGCCAATCCCTCATCTTAATGAGGTTTTAAAGAAGGATGCAGATGGCTTGACGAAGAGGCCAGACTGTGAAGATGCAAGCCAGGCCAGGCCATACTTACCTGGGGTATTAGTTATTTTTCTCGTGGCTGTGACAAAATACTTGATATGAACAACTTGAGGGGATAATGGTTTTATTTTGGTTCACGGCTTCAGAGTTAAGGTCATAGCTGGTAAGTTATGGAACACGAGTGGCTCCCTTTGGTGGCAAGAGCATGTCACCATAGCTGTTCACATGGCTGTGACCAGGGCTGAGCACAGCCTTCAAAGGCCCTGCCTCTGGTGACCTCCCGAAGGTTCCCACTGCCTCCTAAAATGGTATCACCAACTGGGGAGCAAATATTATAACATGAGCCTGTGAGGGACCTCCACATTCATCCCTATCACCTAGGTCACACAGATGGGTTTCTTTACTCTTCCATGTGGATTTCTCTTATGCAGTCTGAGCACTGTTCAGCATTAAGACTGTCTAATGCCTTCCTACGGGGCTCTGATGAGAGCGTAGCTGCTCTTGAGCTGTCCTTCAGCCTCTAAGACTGGCGGCTGCTGCGGTTTCTGCTGTAGACAGTGTGGTGGCTACAGCATCTGACATGCCTATGTGGGGCTGGCACCTATGAGCTCCTGCTGTATATACTTCATAGGCACCACTCTGAGTGAGGGGAATGCCCAACTTATATCCATGGTCAGGAAAGGACTAGCCAGGGTGCGCATTACTCATCCCAGGCAAAGTCCTCAGCGGCTCAGGGAAATCCTGAGACCAGCCATCTTTGTATGACTCAATACCAGCCGCCTGCTTGTTGCTGCCAGGCAGAGCAGACTCCTAACCAACCCTGGAAGGATTCTTGGCATATTCCAGTGAGGATAGTGTCCTGGTTGAGACACCAACTCCCAATTCCTTAGAGATGATGTAGCTCTGGGGAAGATGAATGATTCCTTGTAAAAACAAGCAAAGCTCTTGCAGAGCCCTCCATGCACGCCTTCCATGTGAAAGGCATGTCAATGAAGAGGCAGGAGTCATCAGCTAGATCAACTGTGTCTGCCCATCCTCTTCCTCAGTGTAAACGGCCTGTCAGGACCGACCAGGAGTCAAGAGTTTGTCAGAGCAGCTTTCTGTCTACACTGTGAAAGGCCAGAGATAAGAGCTGATCCTTGAGAATTTACAGCCCATAAGGAACTGCTCTAACCTCTATATGCATCATTAAGAGATTTACTCCTAATTAGGCAGTCACCTCCAGGAGGCTAGCTAGCATCTCGAAGGACTAGCAGTAGGAGGTGGGAACTTGGCTAGCCCAGGCTTCCTCCACCATCATTTGCAATCATGAGACAGACCCACTAAGGGCCAGCAGGTGTGAGTGCTTCTTGACAGGAAGAGAAGACAGTATATGTTAACACTTTGACAGAAGAGGAGCACTGAGTGACCGGAAGGCGCAGCAGTGGATCTGTGAAAGGAGGGGCATTGGGTATGAGCGCTCTGACAGGAGGTAGGGACAACTGGTGTGAGCCTGATGATGAGAGATAGTGCAGAGGGTAGAAACGCTCTGTTCAGCTTACAACTCTCAGGCCATACTCCATCACTGAGGGAAGTCAGAGCAATAATTAAAGCAGCACAGGAACCTGGAGGCCAGAGAAGGCTTGTGGCTCGCTGACTTGCTCACCCTGCTTTTTTTACAGCTCCTAAGCCCACAAGTCCAGGGTGACCGCCCACAGTGAGGTTAATGCATGGGGATATGCCAGCCAGGAGAGCCCTGTAATAGGTAGAGACTGAGGGATGAGGGGAGAATCAGGTGGCCAGGTCTGCTTTGATATGTTAAATAGGCACCTCAGTCTTTTGGCCAGGGTTTGAAACCTAACAAGTTCGAGGATACCCAGGACTATGTAGAGACTCTGCCCCAAAACAAACAAACAAACAACAACAAAAACTCCCAGTGTTTTGGTCTCCAGATGAGGGGGGGGGGGACTGGAGACAAGGGGGCAGTCTGGCTCAAGAGAGGAACACTCCAGTGGTGACATTTGGGCTTGTCAGACTTGATGATTCTGCCGGAAAGGCCACATCATAGGCACACAATCCCTACTCAGGCTTATGGCCAAGAAGGAGGTTCCTACCAGCTGGTACAGATGTTAAACCAGATGTGAGAGTTACTTAGGAGGGGAGCAAGACCTGGAGGGGGCTCCTTGGGGTCCACTGCTCCTCATGGACCCTCTGTCCTTAGGTCACTGCTCTGGAACGGCAGGTGTTTGACTTCCTGGGCTACCAGTGGGCACCCATCCTGGCCAACTTCGTCCACATCGTCGTGGTCATCTTGGGGCTCTTCGGCACCCTTCAGTATCGGTCACGCTACATCGTGGTGGTGAGTCCACTGTGTTTGGCTGCCTCTACACAAGAAGTAGGAGCCCTGCTACTCCCGGTGGCAGCCTGGGCAGAATGTCTTAGGTTGACACCTGCCCAGGGCGGGCTTAGGTAACCCTTTCCAAGCTCAGCTATGGGAAGGCCAGACTCAGGGGGTCCTGGCTTTGCCATGAGTTCAAGGGCTTTCTCCTAAGGCGCTGCAGAAAATCAGATATCTCATCTCTGAAGATGATGGGTTCAACTTCTGCCCTGTTCTTTCTGGCCTCCCTAGTATGCTGTGTGGGCAGCTGTCTGGGTTACCTGGAACGTCTTCATTATCTGCTTCTACCTGGAAGTGGGGGGCCTTTCAAAGGTGAGTAAAGATGGGAAGGGGTTCATCCACTGGTTCTTGGCCAGATCACCATGTGATACTCGATGCCGTTTGTTGCATGATTCCTAATGATGGTGGGAGAGTGATGTGTAGTGCTGACCCCAGCGCCAGGATTGTTTGGGCTGTGATCAGTGCCTCAATAAAGCCTGGGGAGGCTGGTTTGTGGGTGGTAAGGGTTGTTGGTCAGGCTTTGTGGGTACCAGTGGGCCAGAGCTGGGTAACTACACAGGGCAGGTTTCCTGGAAGAGGCCTTAGAACCAGACAATACAAGGGAGGAGTGGGGACTCCGTAGACATCTGGCCAAGGTGTGTAAGTGTGTCCTTGGGGACGGTGAGATTGGGGCACAAGTAGAAACCTTCCTCTTGTGGCCACATGGAGTCTTCTGCCCTTGCCAACTGAATGTATTTCCCGAGGAAGCTCTGGACTGGTGTAGTTTTGTTCTCCTACTCTAGTGGTGTGATGGACTAACCTAGCCCTGACTGGGATTATGCCAGTCACTGACGTGAGGCCCAAGATCCACTGTGGCAGTTTGGCCAGGGACACGAGTAAAGGTTTTGAGGAACCTGCATACCATAATAGTGAGTCCCGAAGGGGCAAGGGACCTTCTGGAGGAAGGGGTCTCAGGGCTGAAGGCCAACAAACTCAGGCTTCCCCATGGATGAACAGTCTGAGGATACTTGTTCCTGCCCCACACATCTAGAGTCCGAGGGAAGGGTAGAGGGAGACTAGCCATCTTCATCCTTCCCTACTCCAGGCTGTGGTTTTAGAAGGTAGCTGCCTCCTGATACAAATGTGTCCTGTTTCTTTGTCCCCAGGACAGTGAGCTCTTAACCTTCAATCTCTCCCGGCATCGCTCCTGGTGGGTAGAGCATGGGCTAGGCTGTCTCCAGGAAGAGGCAGCCGCAGTTGGCCTGGGGGCAATGCACGGCCAGTCCTTGGTGGCAGATGCTGGCTGTGCCATGACGTACAGCTATATGGAAGTCCTGCACAGTGGACTACAGATCCTGCTGGCGGTGAGTGTGGGGATAGACACCCAGGCTGGGGGCTTGTTCTTCCTGGGGCAGTCAGAACCTTTCCGTTACACAGAGACACCATCTTTCCTTGTTGAGCAGGATTGCCTCCATATCCTGCAAGTAGAGTGGGCTTCTACCCTTGAGCTTGTCGTAGTCACTGCTCTATGGCTGTGGTGAGACACCATGGCCAATGCAACTCTTATAAAAGAACGTACTTAAGTGGGAATTTGCTTACAGTTTCAGAGGTTTAGTCCATTATCATCATGGTGGGGGAGCATGGCAGCGTGGAGGAAGGCATGGTGCTGGAGAAGGGGCTGAGGGTGCTACATCCTGATCCACAGAGAGAAAGAGAGAGAGAGAGAGAGAGATGGAGCCTGTCATAGGCTTTTGGAACCCATGCCTCCTCCAGGATCACAACTCCTAATTCTTACAATCCTTTCAAATAGTGCCACTTCCTAGCGACTAAGCATTCAAATATGTGAGCCTGGAGGATGGGGGCATTCTTATTCAGACCACCAAAGAGCATTGTTGTTCTTTTTTGTAAGACAGGCTCAAAACCAGCATCAAACTTCAGCCTCCCATGATGCTGTGGAGTACCAGGCAACCAAGAACAACAGGGAAGGTGCAGGCAGGAGTGACCGAGATGGATGCTCTTATATCTCCCCAGCACAGGGGTAGTACAGGCAAAGGAGAGATGTAAAGACCGCGAGGCTGGCCTCGGTGGGACAACGATAGGGAGATAGAGGCCCCAGACTAGCCAATAAAGATGTCATCGTTTAATCTCAACGGACCTGGTGCATTAAGGTAGCATTTCAGTGCTTTTCCCTGAGTCTCAGGGCCCTTGGGGGATATTTCACAAGTTCTCACCTCCCTGGAGAGAAAGCAGGATAAGGTGCATACTTCCTGGCACACAGTGGGCTGACTGGGCTGGCTGTGAGCCCACAGCTCTGAGAAGTCTGCCACAGAACAGATCCTGTGAGACAGGGAACAGTTTGTGGAGATCTAGCTACTTTCCTAGCACTGTGAGACACCCCTGATCTCCCGGAGTCCTGCTCTGTGAGGAGCAGAACAGTCCTGTGCCCAGGCAGCTCCTGTGTTGGTTGTAGGGCTGACTGCTTCTGGGTAACTTTCTCACCACCCTACTAGGCATGTAGAACAGTTCCTCAGCAGTGAATCGCTAACAAGTGTCAGATGCCCCCATCCTGTCGACGGTCATATTCCCTTGGACTCAGGTGTCCACAAAGAGCCTAGAGGAGATAAAGTCTCGTGAATTCAGAGACGTGGAGACGCCATTATTTTCCATGTTTGTCCAAGAAACTTGATTCAAGAAGAAAGATCAGAGAAGGCCTGATGGCACTCTACAGTTGATGGGAGAGGGTGGGAGGCAGAATTCAGGAGTGCAGAGCCATGGGGTGCCAGGGGATCTGGAGTTCTGAATCCCAAAAACCTTTCCCCAAGACCTCAGCCCATAAAGCTGGCCAGGGAGCTATGGAGAGTGCAGAGGCCCTGCTGGTGCTGAGGCTGGGCTCTCTGCCACTCTGTCTTATTGCTATGGCAACACAGGTGGCCCAGGCTTGAGGCTCCCTGCAGGACACAGGATCTGAGCTTGGCATGGTCTACCAAGCACAGGAAGTTGTAGCATCTCTGGGGATGGGATATATATGGCCCACACGTTTTTCTCTGAGACCCCACAGCTAATACAAAGACTAAATCCAGGCTGGATTCTTCCTTAGCTGTCGATATAAAGGAAGTATTTAGACAAACCCCAACACCGGAACAGCAGATGGCAAGGAGACCGTGCGGTCCTCAGGCTTCCTATTAATAGCATCACCCATCGAGGACAGAGCTAAAGGCACATAAGCCTTTATAAAGAACCCTTTATGTCCACGGTGGACATCGGGGCATACTAACTCCCATCACAGTCTCTAGCCCCCTCTTTGCTCTTAAGGCCTTTTACACTCTGGTCAGGTGGTCCAGGTGAATTGTCTCTTTCCAGAACACTCAGCTTCAGGGATCACTCTGAGTTCAACGTCCCATCTGGGCTCCCTCACTGCTAGTCACTGGGCCTCTTACCATGTCCCAAGTTCTGTTATTCCAGGACACAGTCTGGTATAGTAAAACATCTTGTCCTGGTGCCCTCAGAGCCAGCCTAGATGTGTGTCTGGATTTGGGTCGGCGTGGGGACTGAAGTCTTGGAAAGACCAAGAAGATATTGACTCATGAACTCTGCCTGGATGGTCATGGAGAAAGATGATGCCTTAAGGGCCTTTGCAAGTGCCAGTCAGGACCTCATCCAGTCACACCTCATCTTGCATAGAAAAGTAAGGGGCTGAAGAAGTTACTACAAATGCCTTGAAGCACACTGAAACTAGATCTCTGTGCTAGATTCTATCAGGAAGGATTGTCTGCTACACCACTATGGATGAGGATAGGGCCCCACACATTTGGATGCTTATAGAAGCCAAATCCTGGCTTTATATCTGTATAAAGTCTGTAATAACAACAGAGCAGATAGGAGAAACCAGACATAGTGACACAAGCCCGCCATCCCAGCATGAGAAGCTGAGGGAGGAGGATCACCGGTTCAAGGCCAGCCTGGGTACATAGAGAGACTCTTTCTGAAAAGTAAAGCTGAGCTGGGATGATAGATCAGTTATAAAGTTGCTTACTTTGGCAAGTGTGGGGACCTGAGTTCAGTCCTCCAGAATCCATGAGGAAAAAAAAAAAAGCTGGACACCTAGAGAGATGTCGAGAGATGGTTCAGTGGGTAGGATCACTTGATACACAAACAAGAGAATCTGAGTTCAGATCCCAACACCCTGTCTCAGGCAATAAGGTGGACAGTACCCAAGCAAGACACTTGACATTCTCTTCTGGCCTCCCCGACATGCACTCACAGGTGCACACACCTGAACAGATATGTGTACATACATCATACATGCCCACATAAATAAATATATATATATTTATGTATATATAAAACAATTTTTGAGATAAAATCTGAACATATAGCCTTGGCTGTCCTGAAACTCTGTGTAGGTCAGGGTCAGTTCAAACTCATTGAGATCTGCCTCCCTCTACTTCCCAAGTGATGGGATTAAAGGCGTGACCCACCACACCCAGTTCATTAAATACAGTAAAGTGTTTTAAAACAGAGGAATGGTGCCGTGCACTTGTAACACCAGTGCTTGGGAGGTGAAGATGAGAGGATCTGTGAGGGTCACTAGCCAGCCAGGCTTGCCTGTTTGGTGAGTATCAGGACAGTGGGAGATGTCTTTAAAAAAATGAAATGATACCTAAGGAATGATGTCAAAGGTCGTTCTTTGGCTTCCAAGTGTACATGCACCCTCACACACACGTACCCATACATATATACACATACGCATGCACATTCACCCATGCATACACCATGCAATAGCACGCACATACACTAACATATCATAAATAAGCCAAGAGGGCTTAGAACAGAAACTTGTTCCCTCACAGCTCCAAGATCAGAGTCTAAGGCCAAGGAGGTAGTGGGGCCTGGGAAATCACCAGCATCCTTACCTGTCAGACCACCTTTCCCCCACATGACTTCCCAGACCCCTCTTTCCTCTGTAAGAATACCAGATCTTGGTTTAAAGTCGCTCTACCCTCTCTAACCTCATGCTGATTGTTTGTGGACCCTATTTGAAAATATGAACGAATTCCAAGGCATCAGAGTTGGACTTTGGGGCATGTGTTTGGCACAGGGTTCCAAATACAACTAAACATAACTCCTCTAGTCCATTGCCTGGGCTCTGTCCCCTGAGGACTGATGTGGAGTGGTAAGCTGTAAGGAGTAAGGTTTTTCCTCCCGCTGCCTGGTCTTGTCCCGCCACCGCGCCAGCCCCAAATAACGCACAGAGACTCTGTATTTGATACAATGCTATTGCCCAGGTGCTAGTTTCTTATCGGCTAGCTCTGTCTTAAGTATTAACCCATTTCTATGTATTTCCACGTGGTCTTACCGAAAGCGGAGGAATGGTGGTTCTCTTCTCTCCAGGCTCTCCATCCTGACTCCTCCTATCTACTTCCTCTTTCCTCCTCGTCTCCTAGTCCTGCCTATCTTGCTTTCCTATTGGCCAACAGTGCTTTATTCATTAACCAGTATGAGAAACATATGTACAGAATGACATCTCTCATCAAAGCCTGGTCACATCTCGAGGCTCCCCAACCTTCCCAGTGCACACGATGTTTGGTGGAGGCCAAGTTCACAAGACAATCAGAAACTGATGACAGGAATTGAATTCTACATCTGAGGAAATCCCAGATGTGAGGAAACATGCAGTAGGCAGTGCAGTTAGCTTTGTGGTCCTCACTGCATCTCCACCTCTAACATAGGCATCCTGCTTAAGGTCAGCCTACACAGTGGGGAACTGAAGTTACCTTTATCTTCCACTGTCACTCATGCAGAGGCAAAGGAGGACCCCTGTTGCCCCAAAACATGAGGGAACCCAGGTACGGTCCACAGAAGAGAAAGAAACGATTAGTCAAGGGTCTCTGTCAAGAATTCTTAAATTGCAGACTCTGAGAAGACAACGGCTGGAAACTAGAAAGACAAGTGGAGTTCTCGTTGTAGAGTACAGAGTGGTTTTGGTGGGGCTGGTGCAGGAGGAAGGAAACTTGGCATGCCAGTGGGGAGACAGCCTTCTGCCATACTTTCTCGGGTGGGATGCCAGCTCACAAACCAGGTCTGCTCATGCTTGTCTTCTCCTGGAAAAAAAAAAAAGCACTCTCTGCTGTCCAGTTTGGATAGCATAAGAGAGAAAGTATCAGGCTTAGCTCTTCCCAGACCACTGGTGAGGAAAGGCCAAGGAGAGAGAAAGCTTCCAGAAGAGGCAGAGTGGATGGATGTTCAGGGACGATCTGTGTGAGCAGAGCGGAGATTGGAAGTGGTGGGGAAAGAAGGCAAAGGCAAGAGTGTGCATGTAGGATGCTGTGGACCACCAGGGATGACCTGAGGCAGACTAGATGCCAGATTGGACAGAGCCTCTTCCCCAGGAGAGCCTGTCTATGTTTCAGCACCGTGGCCAGCTCTCCGTGGGCGCCCACCCTGGAGTGTGACCTTCTACCTCAGGCTGTCCTATGGAATCTCAAAAGGCTGTGCGAGAGACTTCTCAGGCCATCTTCAGGGTGAGGAAAATGACTTCCAGGCTCAACTCTAGACTCATTGCTGGAATGCTGGAATCCCCAGGGAGACTGTGGCCTGCACCTTAGCTGGGTAGGATATCACCGGCATTGAGTTAACGCATCCCCAGCTTCAGCCTGGTAAGAGCTGTCTCCTTTGACAGGAGGGTTTGGTGGCCTCTTGGAAAGCTGCTTGGCCAGGTCAGTGCAGAACCACGCCTTAGATGATAAGTGTGTCCCTCAAGGCTGGCTGTTGCTTTGCAGAGTGTACTGCTGCATATCCAGAAAGTCTTGCTTCCTTCCAGTCACACTCACAACCACTGTGACAACTTCCTGTCACCTCTATAGAAGCCTCCGGTGCCCTGAGACACCTCCTCTGTAGTTCTCTAAGATCACACTATAGCTCCTGTTCAGCTGGTACCTTTTGAAATATTTGTGTGCACCAAATTATCCAGGGTCCCAGCAAGACAGAGACAGTTCTCCCAGACCAAGCTGATACCAGGTGGTGGTATGTGGAATGGGTATACGAAATATAGGTGTTATGTTAGGGCCCACAGAGGACAGTGCGCTCTCCTGAGATTCACGACAGCTTCTTGGGTCCCGAAATAATACACAAAGAGTGAGTTGTCAGCATCAGGGCAGGGAGGCAGCTTTGCAGGTAAGTGGCTGGCTGTGGGACCTTATTTTCCTTCTGTCTGATCTGCTGGGTTCTCCACTAGCCAACCTAGTCAAAAACCATCCTGTCTGCAGAGTCAGCCTTGCATGCCAGGAACAGAGGCCAGATGTGGAGGGAGGGCCTGTACCTTGGAACTCTCCTGGAACTGAGTAGAGTGGCTTGCAGGACATTGTATGACGGCATGGAGAGTACAGGCCTGATCATCGGGGTTCAGAGGACACAGTGTTGTAATTTTAAGAAAGCAGCTTGAGAGAGAAAGACACCATGGGACAGAGTTTTATGCAGAGGGGCTTTTTATTAAGGGAAAGGGGATTATAAAAAAGGGGAAGGGGGGTGGGGGAGACCGGCCTCCAGGGACAGCAGGAGGAGAGAAGAGAGGAAGGAGAGAGAGAGAGAGAGAGGGACAAAGGAGAGAGAGAGAGAGAGGAGCAGGCAGAGCGAATGAGAGGTGGGCAGGCCCCTCTCATTCAGCTGAGGGCGTGGCCTGTCGAAACTCCAAAGGCAGGCCAGTACAGATGCCTAAACTCTAACAAGCTGCTTCTCAGGTTTCATGTCCCATGGGAAAGTCCAGCTCTTTGTCTGCATGTCTGGCATTCCAAGCCCTGAAATGGGAAATGGCTAGCATCCTTCAGACTGGGTTGCCCACTGAGTGTGTCAAGGGAAAACTGAGATATCGGGAATGAGGGAGTGTGGGAAGCCATGTAGGTAGTGTCCAGAGGAGCTCCGTTTCCAGAGAAGTCAAGGCTTCTTGCAGGGTTTCCATGACATCCACATGGGGTCATCCACACCATCCTCATGCTGCTGCTGCATGAGATGGCTTGGCATGTCCGGCCTCTTGGTGTCTTTCAGCTCCTGGGTTTCGTCTATGGCTGCTATGTGGTCAGCGTGCTTACGGAAGAAGAGGACAGTTGTAAGTGTACAGCTAATGCGAGTGACATCTCTGAGTGCTGCACTATCTGGGGTGGGACCTGAAGGTGGCTCTCAGTTATGCCCCATACCCATTGGGTCTTCACTTCCTGCCACAGGCCTGACCATAGAGGTGCCAGTCCAAAGATCTGAGAATAGGGGGAGTCTGAATCCTCAGTAGCACGGGCCGCTCTGCCTGCCTGGCACACATGTTGATTGGCATTTAATACTAGGCAGGACCTATTTGGACAGATTATCCCACTCTCTCTGCATGTAGACCCTTTTCAACTTAACTTTGATTTGCAACATAACACAGTAATGCTTCAAAGCTATCCCTTTGGGGACTCCTAGACCTGACATAGTCTCATGGGAAGTTCCTTCAGAGAAAGTGTTGACAGGGAGGGTGGGCAGTCAGTGCTCCTGTGGATAGAACCTTCCCCAGAGTCAGAACTGAAATTCAAAGCCGTCTACCCCTGAGAGTCAGGCCATGAAGTCAGCTGTCGCCATGTTCAAGAGACTTGGGCTTGATTCTGAAGGCTAGTGAGGGGTGGTCCCTGAGCCTGGGATCAAGCCCCTGGTGCTGTCCCATCACTGAGACCTCAGCAAGCTGCTAAGGATGAAGCAGGAGCTCCACCTGCTCTTTGAATTCAGAACTACAGCCAGCCCTGAACTTCGAAAATGTGTTCATTTTGCCCAACAAGCCTAGCAACCACTAGGGGCAGGTGCTTGATGTTAGTCACAGGGATGATTGGGAGAGTCTGGCAGAGTGGGGTGTAGCCCCATCCAGGCTGGAGGGCCCTTGTTGACCTCCCCACCTGACCTCCTTCTGGGAAGGTCCATTTAGCCCACAGATCCAGGAAACTGCACAGTGCCCCAGAGATATCCCAGCAAGGTATGAGATACAACAGGGGGCTGATTTAGGGATGTGCCTGTACCCCTTCACAAGCCCTGGCAATGCCCCTCTTGCTGGGAATCTGCCTCTGGGAATGTTTCCATTCTGCCAATTTTTTTCCGTCATTTGGGTTTTATTTTATTTGGGCTTGATTTCTTTCAGTTGATTTCATTGGTGGATTTGACCCATTCCCCCTGTACCATGTCAATGAAAAGCCGTCCAGCCTCTTGTCCAAGCAGGCATATTTGTAAGTATGGCCCACTGAGCCTGCGCTAGGGTGCTCATGACACAAGGCTCTTCTCCTTGGAGACTTTATCCGGCATCTGTATGTCAACCCATCTGTTCATCTATTGCCCCCTAAGATCATGCTCTAGTTAGATGTCAGGGTGAGGGGCTGTAGACTTCAGCCCCACACAATTAAGCTCAAAGCTCAGCAGGGGTAGGTTCTGTGATAACCAGGACCCAAGTCAGCACTGCAGTCTGGAGTCTCCAGAATGGGAGGGTTACCACCAGGCCACTCCCCAGGGGCTTCGGGGTTTCAGGAAGTGGAGAGGTTGTGGGTGTCTGTGTTTTATATTTGGCAGATCACGTTTCCTTCTCAAGCCACAGCCCTACAGATGCCATGGCTGTGTGGGCTTCCTGGAAGTCCTGAAATTGAGGTCAGAAGGGGGCATCGAGGGGTTTTCTGGGTGAGGCTGCCTTCAGCTGACCTGGTCCTAATGCCTGACCTCAGAGTGTGCCAGACTATCATGGATAATGGATATCAGAAATAGCATGACGTTAGCTCCTAGAATGAATGAAGGAGGAAATACAGGTTTAGGAAGGGGAGGAGCCTCTGCAGGCGGGCTGCTGCAACTCCTAAGACAAGCCTGGGCTCAATAGATCTCCATAAATAGTGGCAGTCCTGGGGAGATTTCTCTTCAGTGGGAAGTCTGAGTGGACAAAAGAAATTCCAGCCCCATAGGAATGGGCCAGGGTCATCAGAGGATAAGATCAGCACCTGCCCTGGGCGTGAAGAAGCCTAGTTCCTGGCATATTTTTGCTATAGCCTGCGCAACTATCCCTTTATTGGTTTTTGCATCTTTTGCATTTGAAATTCCCCAAGGGAAGGGCGCTGCCCTCCTTCTCTCGGGCTTCTCTGATTTCTGCCTTCTCCACAGGCCTGCATAAGTGAGGGAAAGGCTGACCCTGCTCCTACAACCCAGCTTCAGCCACTGGAACAAAGAAGAGACTCCAGGCCCAGCTGCCCTGCCTGCCTCGCATTTTTTCCAAATTCCCCTTGGATACCAGTGAGGGGCGGGGGACACTGCAGGCCGGGGTGGCTGCAACTGTGAGTTTGTAATTTCTTTTCTTTTTTCTTTTTTTCTAAAAAAAAAAAAAAAAAAAAATAGTAAGAAAAGACATGAAAGAATATGGAAACAAAGTGTCCCTGGTCTTCTTGGGCAGCTGGCAGTAAACCTAGGCAGTTCCCCCAGGTGTCTCCTAAGTGCTCTGTCCTGGGTTACAGGACCTGAGAGCACATTCTGCTGTCAAGGGAAAGGCTCATCAGAGGGCAATAAGAAGGTTTGGTCCCATCAGGAAGTCCCTATGAGCCACCAGGCTAGCCGAAGGTCTTATCCAGGCAAAGGCCCTTGCCCCACAGAGCCAGTGGAATTCCCTGGAGCAGGAGCAGGAGCCCTGCCACTCCCAAGCTAGGAGACAACCATGGGTGAGACATGGGATACCACATAGACTCTTCTCTGTAGAAAGAAGGGCCTTGGGCAAGTATCCTGAGAACACCAGCCGCATTAGGAAATACACAAAGTTGGTGGGCAATTAGAAGTGGGGTCTCAAGAGGCCCCTGAGGCCAGTCTATCCTGAAAGTGTAGAATGCAGTACAAGATCAGAAGGAGTGCTATTTCTTTTTCCAAAGTGGGGAGGAGTTTGTGAAGTGATTAGAGGTGTTTGGACCCCTGATGGGCACTGCTCTGTTGGCTCCGCATGGACTGCAGAGCTGGTAGTGGGTATCTGAGACAGAGCAGAGCTGAGCAGTAGGTGAGAACTTCTACTTTATTATCTTCAAATAGATCCCCTTCCTCGCACCAGCCAGGAGCTCTCCCCTTATGCTATACTATGTTTGTGGTAGACACTGAGTGTCCCCCACTATATGGCTGGGCGCCCATCCTGCAGGGGAGAACCTGGAGGGAGAAAAAGAAACGCGTATGAGTTCTGTTCTCATTAAATTTTTCTGAGCCAGGGGCCATTGGCCTCAGGGACTTCCTTAACCTACCACTTTGTTCTACCAGAAAATTTATCAGACACATCTTGGGGACACACTGACCTCTGAGAGTATAAGAAGGCCATGGCTCCTGTCTCTCCCTAGGACAGGGGTGTGACACATTTATGTAACAACTGAGGTTCATGTGCCCTCCCCTGCATGACCACCAAGCCCCAACCTAACCCATGTGCCTCTGAAGCTGGACTCTCCAACCCTATCTGAGGTCCTTGATGACCAGCCAGACAAGAGGTGTCCCCCCCCCCCCCCAGCCATCTTTCCCTCTGACTCCACCCCTGAAGGATTCAAAACACTGGGATTGCCTGGTGCAGGGAGTGAGAAGTATGGCCTGGCCATCTCTAGAATGCCATTGCTAGCCTTAGGAAGCAGGACGCTCAGGTTACACCCAGGCTGCAGGAAGGAAGAATGCACGAGGTACCCTGGACCTCACCTGGTTTAGGACAGGAAAGTTCGTACGCAGCTACCGATAGGCACCCTGCAGATAGGGCACACCCGCAGGTTGGGGGCACACTCAGCACAGACTAAGTGGCCACAGGGCACGAAGACCACAGATACGACTCGATCCAGGCACACCTTGCATGTTCTCTCCTCCTGCAGTTGCTGCAGCTGTTCCCGTGCATCCCCAGCTCCTGGGGACTCAAGAATTCCCCAGCATCCTCAGGGCCCAGGAGACTGACTCCTCAAGGGGGATGAACTTGCTACATGGACCCACCCTCTTATCCCCCATGTTCCCTTTGCATTCCCACCCTGAAAGAGGATGGTCCATCCACCTCCGGTGGATTCCAACTATACCTGGCTCACTGGCATCTTCAGGCTGCATCTCTCTTCTGGATGTGAGCAAATCAGGGCATCCACGGGCAGGAGCTGCAGACAGTTAGTGGGGATGGATTCAGGGCCTAGCTTCTGTGGGGGAAGGGAGGCCTAGCTCAAAGAAGATCTATCAGCTACCAAGTTCCAGTTCTGTCCTAGAGAACAGAAGGGTTTGTATGGCACTCAGCTGTTCATGAGCTCAAGAACAACCATAGGCTCCCTGGTGGCCACCAAAGAGCCTGCCTTCCAGCAGGGTACTCTGTGTGTCCAGCCCCTCAGACTAGATGGTCATACATTGTATGTACTTGGCACTTTGGGAGGGATAGGAAACAAAGGGTGATGGATGCCCAGGGGAGTGAGACAAGGAAGGCAGGCAGTGCCTAGAATGGATGGAGGTACCTCTGGCCCTTGCTGCCTGACCTTCATCCTCCTGGAGCAAGTCAGCTGTCAGTTGTGAAGTAGGTGTGCTGGACATGCCTGAGCTCTGGCTCCTTTCCCGGTTGCCCCTGGTATCTTTAAGGTTGGAAGGGGAAGGGAGGAAGATAAGGAAGGAGGGAGAGAGGTCCCAAGGTCTACAGGTTGTAGAAAAAGGCTGGTGGTCTGTGGCATGCTCCATCTATACACACATGCATCTGTGTATTCCCAGAAGGCGCTGGGAAAGCTTCCACCCTCTTAGACAAGAATGCTGCATTTTCAGAGCCTCTATCTAGAGGTGCTACCATCATTGGGGAGGACAGCAGACAAAGCCCTGCCAAGCACCAGAGTCCTGTGCATTTAAAATGGGTTAGGGTTGTCATATCACATCTCACAGCATTGAGGTTCTGGGAGATAAGCCATTTGCCTGTGGCCACAAAGCTGGCAAACAGATCAGGTGGTCCCTGAAGTCAGAAGAACCTCAGATCCCTGTCCCATAAGGCCCAGGGAAGAGATTTGGAAAGTTGTGTCCTCCGTGACTCTGTTAAGCAGGCTTCTGGTTACAGCCCAGTTGGCTTTCAGAAGCTGAGGCCAGTGCCCAGCCGAACCAGCCCAGTGTGCAGATACATCCCCAGGTTTGGCTGGCGTCTTTAGCAGCATGCTCAGTGGGAACAAGAGGATGCAGTGGTCTGACCTATGCCTTGAACACACAACACGTGTGCACAGTCCCTTCTTGCTGACCGGCAGGTGCATACGCTCAGCAGTGTTACCTGTGTACAGGCTGCAAATGCCAATAAAACAGCAAGGGCTTTTGTATCAGGCTATCTCACCTGAGGGGGTGGCAGGGACAGTATCTTCTGGCTCTTCCCATTGGTCCTGTTGGAAAGCCATCAATGCCATAAGCAAATAAAGCAGAGACTGCCAACCCACCTGAATCCTGAGGACAGATGGACTTACCCAGGAGCCAAGCAAGGGAGTGCAAGCCTGGATTCTTTCCACAAAGTCCCTTCCTTTTGACCATAGCAGGAACCGGCACCTGGAGAAGAGATCTTAGAAGGCAGGACTGGACTCATAGAGCCCCACTGTTATTCAAGTTTTCTAAGTCATGCCTTCTGTTCCCATGCAACCCATTATACCCTATGGCAGATAGCCAGGGCTATATCCCTCAGGGAGACCTGCTGGGAAAGCTATCAGACTCTGAGTACCTAGAAAAGGATAGCAACAGGAGAATGCCCACCATAGTGGCCCTTCCAGAGAGAGCTCCATGAAGACTGGGGTTCTCTGCTACCCTAGAGAGAGTCTGATGTTCCGGGGCTGTGGGGGATGGGGAGGATGGACAGAGTTGTTTAGGGCTCTTTTCACTAATCAGACCTGCATCAGTCCACATGGCCCTTACCTGGGGAACCATCGGGCATGCTCTGTCCAGGGGTCATCCCCATGCTCCCAACTCTGCAGACCCCCGTAGCAGAAGAAACATCTCACCTTGTCCTGCTGGCCTGGGTATGGCAGAGACACATGGTTGGTAACCCCACCTAGCTGGCAACCACAGGGTGTCCCTCCACGACCATCAGAGCTTGGGCAAGCAGGGCTGGGATCTGCCAGCAGGTTAGCAAGAAGGGACCAAGGCACATGGGCATCTCTCTTGTCTCAAAGGCAAATAAAGACAATGCCGGGGGCATGCGTCAGGAGGGCCCTAGAATATTCTGGAAAGGCTGAGCTAGCATTTATGTTGTCCTCAGGGCATGGGGGTAGGGTAGGGCCAAAGGCTTGGAGCATCTGTAGCCTGGGAGATTCAGGGCATTCCAAGGACTCCTAGTGACAGGGTAAGGAGGTGAGCTCTCCCATACTGGTTCATAGCCAGGTTTGGTTTTAGTGGCTCAGGCCTTCCTCATCTCTGTTCTCTGCCCCTCCTCCAATCATGGGAATATGTGTCCTTCATGACCTTGTATAGAAGTTATAAACAGAACTTACAGGCATATCCTATACAGCAGACATCCATGGTCCACAAAATCCCCCTAACATGTGTTGGCCTCAGGAACACTTCTTTTCAAGGAGACTCTAATTGTCCCAGCCATTAAACCTTCATGACCAGTGTCCAGCTTCCCTATATCATTTTGGACTCTTGCCTGACCAGTACAGGGAAAATAACTAATTCCTCCCCTGCTGTCCCCATTACTGACAGTTTTTCTGGCTATGCTCATACTTACAAAGCCCCTCTGTGGGTCTCGCTGCCTCTTTTTCCTCAACCTTGAAGAGAAAAAGCCAGAACCTGACCCCTACCGTGAGTGGGGAGCAGTCCAAGCTAAAGGAGTTGTCTGTTTATAACTAGAACAGGTTCTTGAAGGATTTGTCTGGAGTTGGTACCTGCACTAGCATGGTACATGGGAAGCCTAGAGGATTACGTACAAGATGGACACAGATCAGGGGATGCTTAAGCTGACCACTGCATCTATAGGATATATGTCCCTCCATTTGTCCTGTAATGAAAGGGACTAATTACCTCTATAACCAAGCCTGCAAGGCTCGCAGATAGCAGTGGGGATCCCTGAGTGGTGGTGGTGGGGGACCCACAGAACCATCTAATCCAGGTGAAACCACCTGCTGAGGGGCCCTCAGGACAAGGCCAGCACAAGCCCAAGATCTCATAGTGACTCTGATTGTGGTAGACCCCAAGCCCTGGCCAGGCAGAAATGACTGGACTACCTTTCATCAGTTCCTCCCTTGGGCAGGAATGGACAGAGCTCTCGGTCTGGAAGAGTGCTAAATAGTGTCCAGACCACAGCAGAAAGACTCCAAGAGTTACCTGTGTGGAAGAAGCCAGCAGCAGCCAATGACTCAGGCTGAATCCCAGCCGTGGATGGCCAGTCCAAGAAGGAAGCCAGGCGGAGATCCTCTGAATCCATCTCAGGGAAGGCAGGCTCCCCAAGGAAGGTAGCTCCAGAGGATTCTTCCTCTTCAGACAGGGGGCGCAACTGGCCCAAGATCTGCCCATCTAGGCAGTCCTGTCCCGAGACATGGCCACGTGCACCGTGGAGTGTGCACTGTGCCTGTGTGGGGCTGATGCTATCTTCCCTGTGACTAAGTTCTGGGATACAGAACAAGTCCCTGGTCCTACCCTCAGGCCCCATGGAGAGAACAGCAGCTCTGAGCAAGTCTGCAGGAGAGAACATCAGGAAGCCTAGGATATGCCTGATGGCTTACCTCCCGCTCCTGACTCTAGCAGCCCCTTCTAGAAGCTGTGGTGAAACCTGCTTCTAACCACAGGCAGACACCACTGGATGCTCAGATGTTGTAGTGTGTCCAGGGATGTGCTACTTTGTGAAAGAGGCCAGAGTGGCAGCCACGTGCTCTCTGCAGTGAATGTGTCATGGGGCCCCCTGGCAGGCGCCTAACAAAGGCAGTACTCCACTGTGCAGAAAGCATCTCTAAATAGGGGGAGGGGCCAAGCTTGGGGACTCCCTCCAACAGCATCCTCTAAGCCTCTGGAAGCAAATCGTAGACACTGACAAAAGTATGTGGAAAGGAAGACTCTAGACATTCGGGGTTCAGTTCTGGGTGGAGATAGATAGATCCAGATAGAAGCCTGGAAGGTAGAAAGCTAGATTGTCTAGGACAGCGTGCAACCCCAACCACATTCCTTCTATACTAAGCCTGTTTCGATGTTCGTGAATGACATCACCTGCTTATTTCCTCCCTACCACTTAGAAGACCCCTTCTTGGCTCAGCCCCGTGTCAACGTCAGCCCCCCTATCCTAACTGGTCTCAGGTTGCCCTCTTTAAGTCTGAACAGGCTAGAGTCAAATCAAGTGTGGAACATGTCCTGGGCCTCGGTCTGGGAGAAGCTCAAGGGTTAGGCTGTGTTTGTTCCAGGCCAGATGTCACAGGGGATACCGCCTCCCTAAATGAGCTCTGCCTCAGGACTGGTCCCAGGCACCTGGTCTCCAGCCTCAGGTGAGGGATTCCATTGCCACAGACCTAACAGAACAGAGAGGAGGGTCATAACCCAGAAAGGACATAGCTACAGGTTAGCAAAACAAAAGTCCTCAGAACCACCAGAGGGGGCGGAGAAGAAGACCAGGGGGCCAGCTCTGCCCCACCTGGCACTGTACCCAAATAACTGCCCAAACCCAGAGGCCAGCCTCATCTAGAGTGAGTTCCAGGACATCCAGGGCTACACAGAGAGACCCAGTTTCAAGAAAGGAAGGAAGGAAGAAACAAAGAAAGAGAGAGAAGGAGGGAGGGAGAGAGAGGGAGGGCAGGTGGGAGGGATGGATAGAGGGAGGGAGGGCAGGTGGGAGGGAGGGAGGGCAGGTGAAGGGGGGAGGCAGACTCCAGACAGTTCATTTTGGTCATACCTCTACTTCCCCCTCCCCCTCTGTCCATGTCCATTCCCATCTCTCCATTCCCATCTTCATCTCCTCTAATTTGTGCTGTCCATATATTTGTGGGTGTGGCAACTGGAATATGGTCAACCTAGCAGGAGCCACCACCAACCATAAAGAAAACTGGCTTTCCTTCTCCCAGAAGCTGCTAACTGTCAATAGTCCCTCAGTCAGGGGAAGATACTGAGAGACACTAGGGCTTGTGAGGTGGGCATGGCAATCCGTGTATGCAATCCTAGCACTCATGGGGCTAAGGCAGGAATTTAAGGCCAACCTGGACTACATATCAAGTTCTATGCTGGCCTCAACTAGAGTGAGACACTGTTTCAAAAAATAAATAAACAAGAGTAACAGTTTGTAAGACAAAAAGAACAGATCAAATCGGTCAGGAGGCCTCCCTTCTCAGGTGTAGGGGATACCATCCTGGGGCTCTGCTTCACAGGGCCTGGCCTGCCAGTAGGGGCCTAAAGAGGAACCTGGCTTGGAAAGGAGATCTGGGTCCCAACGCTGTCTATGTGTCTCCTCTGCTCACTTGCCACCGCAGAGCCCCAGTGGCACACAGAGCCCACAGGCAAATTTCCAGTGCTACTTGGCTTTAGAATGCCCTGGAAGTACTGTGCTTCACAGACACACCCCCCCCCCATTGCCCTTTGAAAAAGACACGGGTTTTTTTTTTTTACCATTTCAGAGATGCGGAGACCGAGGCAAAGGAAGGGAACGCAGGTTCGCCGAGAGCCAAGGCATGGGAGATCGGCCTAGGAAATGGTGGCCTAGCCTACCCCGTTCCATACCAGCTCACACAGGGCTGGAGTCCCTGGGGTATCCACCATCTCAGCAGATGTATCCCCACATGGCCCTGCAAGGATTTGGGACCCTGTCTCATTTCCTGCTGGGCCTACAGCCTATACTTCTATCTGTGGCAACAGAACCTTCTAGGATACCCCCCCCCAGGACCTCACAACCTTTGCCTTCCTCTCTACTTGCAAAAGGACAGCATCACTGCTTTGACATTTGAACTCGGAGCCCTGCCTTTCCAGGCTTCTTGCTGGACTAGGTTCCCTGGGATTGAGGCCAAAGGGGCTAATATAGGAGAACAGAGGCAGCGTCACCAAACTCTTCCTCTGTGCAGGCTCAGGCCTGGGCCCCTGGGGCCTTAAGCACCGGAGTCTGGACTTGCTGGGCCTGGGGATCTGTGACAAAGGACCACAAGCATTCCTGTTGCCCCTGACGAAAGCAGCTGAGCCAGCTATGTTAAGGTTAAAACCCTTCTTTTTATTTTAGACAGAAAAGAGGAGATGATGGGAGATGTCATTCTGTATATGTTTCTCATACTGGTTAATAAATAAAGCACTGTTGGCCAATAGGAAAGGAAGATAGAAGGGACTAGGAGACAAGGAGGAAAGAGGAAGTAGTAAGGAGGAGCCAAGATGGAGAGTCTGGAGAAAGCAGAACCGCCATTCCTCCGCTCTCGGTAAGACCACATAAAAATACATAGAAATGGGTTAATAATTAAGACAGAGCTAGCCGATAAGAAACTAGCACCTGGCCAACAGCACAATATCAAATACAGAGTCTCTTGTGTGTTATTTGGGGCTGGCAGGACAAGACCGGCGGCGGGAGGAAAAACCCTACTCCTGACAAACCCCTCTCTACAGTTTGAGAGCCCTCCTGAAGGATAGGAACATACTCTACCCATGACCACAGAATGGAGCTCTCAGAGCTCTCGCTGGTGCATGAGTCCTATGAGATAGCATAGGCGTGTGGTGAAGGGGCTGGTAACAGAGCACCCAGGTGGCTGTGCCAGCTGTACCCACGCCGGGACTTCATAGAAACAGCACTAGTCCGGACAACGCTTTGCCTGGTGCCTAAATCCCTGCCATGAGCTCACACTGCAAGCTGAATCCCTTGCTAAGGTACACAGTTCCTAGGTGGTGACAAGTTGTGGTTGACAAGGCCCTGTAGCTCATGGCACAGCCATGATGTGATTTGGGTCAGCTAAGGCCCAGTGTGAGAGTGTGGGGCTGCCTGTGCCATCCTGTGTGTGGTCAAAGCCTGAGGGGAGGCCTGAGGCTCCCTGGGTGTGGTGGAAGGGATGAGAAAAAGGGAAGGAAGACAGAGGAAGGGCCAACGCCGCTACCCACCCCTACAGACTGAAAGAATTCTTTCTGTATGGTTCTGTAGATCCTGTGTCCTACCCTGGACTCTACAGAGCAGACCCCAAACAGGCTGAAGCATGAGTGTCGTGCAATCTGCTGTTGACATTGGACTTGTTCCTGAAGGTCACTCCCCTGGGCTCTCCAATTGTATTTCTCAGAGCCCAGAGACCCTGAGGAGAACACTGAGGCATTGTGGGCCAGCTGAGATGGCAGCAGTCTTCTGTTCCCAAAGTCCAGTGGGACCCAAATGTCGTACAGGTCAGCCCTTCAGACTTCTGGACCCAGACTTCAGCCAAGGAGGAATCTAGGGTAAAGTTGGGTCCTAGTTCAGGGAGATCCCGGGCCTCAGGAAGAGCTGCAGGGAAGGAAATGGGAACTATAGCCTGCAAAGGATAAGCTTGACATTACTTCCTCCAATTCATTTTAATCAGAGTTGCTGGAAGGATTGTGGATAACCGTGTCAATGGAACTGAGTGTCAGGCTCATCTGTGAACCTACTATACATGCAGGTCCCCAACTTTTCCTAGGGATTTGGACTTCGTTTGAGTGCCCCGTGCTCTGTACCCTAGCTGAGAGCAGCCATTTGAATTTTGTTAGAATGAAATAAAATGTAAAATACAGTCCTTAAATTTCAAGTACTCAGTAGATGCACACGGTCAGAGGTTATGCTGTGGGACAGAGCAGCCCAGAAGGTCACAACACTCACCTACTGCCCCTGGGATGAATTTCTGTTTCCCAGAGTTGGAAGGTGAGGGAGCCTGAGTTCATAAGGCCTGATTCAGAGCACACCCTATTGGACATGAAGGGGATGACAACACAGGGTCAGAGACCAGGTCCTGGAGAGTTGTGGAATTAGCCATTCACAGGAGGGCCAAGCTCTTCAGAAATGCTGTGAGATGGATGAATCCCCAGTGTCATCTGATTCTGAGGATCCAAATGCCTGGAACATAGCTGAGGGACTTTGGAGGGGGGGCACATGTAACCAGTGTCTGGGAACTGTAAGAACATGAGGGAGCCTGGAAACCCAGAGACCAGCTAATAGGTGCTGGAGGAATGGGGTGGGTATCTAGGCAGACACCTTCCCCTGTGGAACTCAGGTTGAGTTAGGATTGCTATCGTACATTGTCATCGTCGTGCCATAAGTACAAAGCTTCAGCAACAGTGAAATGCATTAGCGCACAGGATCAAAGCCCAGGGTGGGCCGCCTCAGGCTTAGCTTGATCCATATGTTCAGATAATGCCATCATTTGCATAACTTTCCCCATCAGGGATGGCATCACTTTTCGATCAAGATGGCCACGGATGGCCCCTTTGCTCACTCAGCAAAGTGAGGGGAAACATGTCTCGTTTCCCCAAAGGCACAAGCTTAGGACTGAGAAGGACTTCCTGAACTGATATTGGCACGCAGTCACCAGACTGAAGTGTTGTTGGGCACAATGGGGGCATGGACGAGATATGTGGGAGACTCTCCAAAGTCTTCCTATTCCCTGGACAGTTCACTCCCATTCCTTGGGGAAGGGTGATGCTTGCATGTCTGGCCAGGCCTCCGTTCCAGGTTAACGGCTTCAGCAGTGCTCAACACTCCTCCAGCTGCCATACACATCTCCACATACTCCTTGTCCCAACCAGGCCCCAAGCCCCTCTCCCGGGTTGGCTCTGCTTACTCTCTACTCTGCTTACCGTG